ATTGACACTTGGGGGCCTTATAAGTCCTCTACTTACAATGATTTTAGGTATTTCCTAACTATAATGGATGATTATAGTAGGGGTACTTGGACATTTTTGATGAGTTCCAAGAGAAATGTTTTTCCTCTTTTAAAGGAATTTTTTATCATGATTGAGAGATAGTTTCAAACACAAGTCAAATGTATTAAATCTGATAATGCCATAGAACTAGGAAAAGGTCATCAAGGAGCACAATTCCTTAAGTCTCAAGGGATTCTCCATCAGACCTCTTGTGTTGCCACACCATAACAAAATAAAGTTGTAGAAAGAAAGCATAGACACCTTCTTAAACTAGCTAGGAGTCTCATGTTTCAATATCAATTACCTATTTGTTATTGGGGGGAGTCCATTCTCACAACCACTCATTTGATCAATAAATTCCCTTCCAAAGTTCTTAAAGGGAAAACTCCTTATGAGATGTTCTTTGGTCAGTCTCCTTCCTATCACAACCTTAGAAGTTTTGGTTGCTTATGTTATGTTTATACTCTAGCACATCAGAGATCCAAATTTTCTCCTAGAGCTATACCTTGTGTCTTTCTAGGTAGGTTATAGAATCCTAGACTTAGCTACACATAAGATATTTTCCTTAAGAGATGTCCATTTTCATGAACAACATTTTCCTTTCAATTCATTCATGTCTACTTCTCCACCCATTTTCTCATCTTTCCCTTCTTTCCTAGATGAACAACTCTCTAGTCCTCTCATTTTTCCTGAATCTCCTGATCACTCTCCCTCAAACATCCCTTATTCACCTCCCCCTCTTTCTCAGTCCCTTTCTTATCCATCATCTCCCATTTTTCCTTCTCCTCCTCTCCAAAAGCCTTCTCCTCTACCTAGGAGATCTGGCAGAATTACTATTGTGCCAAGTTATCTACATGACTATATATGCAACAACATAGTTTTTAACTGATCTAATTGAGACATGATTTCTTTATCCTTCTAAGCCTTCTGCTTTTTCTTTTAATTCTTTGTTCTTGCCTAATCAACACACTCTCATCTCCTTATCTCATATAACTGAATCTCATAGTTTTGCACAAGCATCTAAACACCCAGGCTGGACAATAACTATGCAGCAAGAACTACAAGCCTTAGATTTTAATCATACTTGGGATATGGTTAAACTTCCTCCAGGTAAAATGGCCCTACCCGATAAATGGGTTTATAAAGTCAAACATAAGTCTGATGATATAATTGAAAGGTTGAACGCTAGGTTGGTTGTTAGGGGGGACATTTAACAGTTTGGTATTGATTATACATATACATTTTCACCTGTGGTTAAGATGACAACCATTAGGTGCCTTCTCACTGTTACTGTGAAAAAATGATGGCCAGTTCACCAATTAGATGTCAGTAATGCTTTTTTACATGGTGATTTACAAGAAACTGTTTACATGAAACCTCCTCCAGGTTTTCCCCTTGTCAAATCTACTCAAGTTTGTCTCTTAAAGAAATCATTATATGGGTTGATGCAGGCTTCAAGACAATGGTATGCTAAATTAGCAGGGGCACTGATCTTTCAGGGTTATTCTAGTTCTCTTAATGACTACTTATTATTTTTCAAAGTCCCTGCTGGGCTTGTGTCCATTATTGCTGTGTATGTGGATGATATTTTGATTATTGGGAATGACAAGGCTGAAATTATACATGTTTTTGATTTTTTAAACCAAGAGTTTAAAGTCAAGTATCTGGGTGACATACATTATTTCTTAGGCCTTGAGATTTTCAGAGAAAAACAAGGTTTCATTATCAATCAGAGGAAGTTCAATTTAGACCTGCTGCAAGAATTTCCTCATACAGGTCCCGAGGTTTCTTCTCCATTTGATCCTTATTCTAAACTCACCGCAGATGATAGTCCCTTGTTACCTATTCCTACTATCTATAGGTATATTATTGGGAAGATTAACTATTTGACACACACTAGACCAGATTTATCATTCGTTGTGTTGAAATTAAGTTAGTTTATGCAACAGCCTACTCAATCCCATTATTTTGCAGCACTTAGAGTTTTGAGATACCTGAGTGTTGATCCAAGTCAAGGTATTCTTCTCTCCTCGGATCCATCTATGCATCTTCTTGCTTTTTGCGATGCCGATTGGGCTTCCTGTAAAGAATCTCGTCGATCCGTCAGCAGCTATTTCATCACACTTGGTGGTGCTCCTATTTCCTAGAAATCTAAGAAGCAAACTTCAGTTTCCTTATCCTCAACTGAAGCAGAATTTAGGTCTATGAGACGTGTCACAACTAAGATTACCTCGTTAACTCGGCTACTTGTTGATCTCTCTGCACCTCTTCCGTTGCCAGTTTCTGTTCATTCCGACAACAAAGCAGCCATGCACATAGCCAAAACCCCCGTGTTTCACGAGAGAACCAAACATGTGGAGTTGGATTCTCATTTTGTTCGCCAATTCGTTTTCGGTCTCATCACTCTTTCATTCGTTCCTTCTGCTCATCAGTTTGTAGATCTGTTCACGAAGCCCCTGGCCAGTCCTTCACATCAGCACTTATTGCACAAATTGGGGGTTTCTTCTTTTCCCTCCAATTTGAGGGGGGATCTTGACACTCAGAAATCATCATCACTATCTACAATTTCTCCTTCTAAAGAAACTATACACATTGAAGAAAAAAGAAGAAAAGGAAAAAAAGTTTCAGACATTTCAGACAAAGCTTCGATAAAATCCAACTGTATGAAAAGTTTGTCTGTAGATGTCGTGGCTAAATCACAACCCCTCATCAAGAATGAAGATGATCAATTATTAACCATTAGATTAGAACTTCTAGAAATCTGTTCTCATGTGACAAGCTTATGAGGAATAATAGTTTGTTACATATAGTTGATAGTTGTACAAATTAGGAAGTGACAAGTGTATAGTTTGTTTTATTATTTTGTTGTTTTGTAGTGAATATACATGTACAAATACAGAAGTTTGGGGATGAATGAATTATTCAGAAAACTTCCACAAATCAATTTGCTCTTCTTTCATTTATCTTGTCAAGGATTTTGAATTGTCATCTTTGTTAAAGACCTTAAACTCCTAGCTCAAGAGCCTATAAAAAAAAAAGCAATTGAAGGTTAAGAAACATATATAATTGTCTAAACCTTCTCAAACACCTTTATCCTACTCTTAATAAGCCTTGTTATTCTTGTTTGATTTATTGTGTATCCAAAAGAGAGAATAGATTAAAAATATTTTCGGTCAGATATTGTATCAATTAAAAGTGAATAGATATGGGGTAGATATATGAACTATACTTCACATGATTTGTTCAAGAAAAACTTCAAGAAATTACCTAGAACATCTTTGTAATCTAAAGGGACTTGACTACGATTCATATTAACTCTTAACCACTATAAAATATTTAATATCATCTACTTTCTAAGTGTTATTGCATTAGCTATTATTATCCTATGCAGTTGACTTATTCCTAATTCAATAGAAAGAGAAAATCCAAGAAGAAATCAATTCATATTTAAGACTCGAATTCGAATATTTTAATTAAAAAAATATATTTATCACTCTACGATAACATATAACCAAACATATAACCAAGCCTTCGTATCTGTTTAATATCATTAATAAGTTTTACTTTGATCCATTGGCATTTTGTGTCCTTGGGATGGGCCATCTAGTCTAGTCAATAAGCACAATCGTTTTCTCCCTATAAAAATATGTGGTCCTCTTCACCTCCTTTATATGAACACTTTAAAGTTTGTCTATCACTTTGTGAATACCATGAAGCTTGTCAATTATTTGTTGCACCTCAAAAATTAAATCAACACTTGTTCCCAATTACTCTAACTTTCCACTTTATTTTATAAATGATAATTAAAATCTTATCAATAAACAATAATTACGAAGTATCAACGAAGATCTTGATCATAATCATTCAAATCTCAATCATTAAGTCGGTTTGTTTTCAAGGTTTGATTTTTAATTATTAAGTGATATTTGTTTTACTTATTTTACAATTATTTAATGAGTACAGATAAAGTCAAATGATTAATATCTATAACAAAATTGTAATATCATTACATTTTTTATTTATATTCTTTTACAGAAATCATCATTCACAACTACTTCATCTATTTCACCCAGAATTATTATCACTATCAATCACGACCAGAGGCGAATCTAGGATTTTTCAAACATGGGTGCACCCAGAAAAATGTATTATGTGGGAATTGATCCGAACATGGATGCATCAAGTAAAATGTATTAAGTGAGAATTGATTCTTCATCCTCAAAGTAAAAAGCTCAACATTTAACCATGTGGACCAGATAGACTTCTTATAGCACGGGTGCAAGAATATAATAATATACAAATTTTAGAAAATATATACATAAAAATATCTAGTTTTTACGAAGAGACCACGGGTTCCGGTGCCCTATTTTTTACCTTTAGATTCGCCACTGATCACGACCATTTATCATCCACAAACCACCATTCTCACTTCTCAGCTCAATCATATATAATCACCAATCATCAAAATCAATCGTTGTAATCATTAGTCATCATTTATAATCATCATCAACAATTATTATTACATTCATTAATATAAACATTAATCTATATTAATATAAATAATTGCCATCTCATCCACTAATGTCATTAGCCTCAAAAATCATAAATAATTACTAGATCAACCATTATACCATAATATATTAATCATAACCACTATCATCACACCATCCAAAGTGAGTGACTCATTTTTATTATTGTTTCTGTCCAACAATAATTGTTTATTATTGACTTAACATAAAAATTTAAAAATAATAAATAATACATATAATTTTACCAAATCATCCCTATTAATATAAGTCATCTAAATATTAAAAATAAATACTCCAATATTTAATAGCAAGATAAAATAAACACAAATCAACAAATTATTCAATTTTATAAATTGAACAAAAATATAATTGAACCTCCCAAAATATTATATAGTGAACCAATAAAAATGTATGATGGAGTATAATTTATGTTGTTCCACATGATTTAGGTGCAGGAATAAATTCTGGTGAGTAAAGTAGTTGGGCAAGTAGAGATTTATAATATATTCCATTCCACCTTCTCTCCAACAAGAAGGTAGGAAGTGAGGATGATGATGGAGGAACGAGAACTTGATTATTTACTAGTCCCTTTTGGGATTGCCATTTTCGTATCATACCATGCCTGGCTTCTCACCCTCATTATTCGCAATCCAAGAAGAACTGTCATCGGAATCAACTCTGAGTCTCGCCATCACTGGGTCCTCTCCATTATGACCGTTAGTCTCCATTCTCTACTCTATTTTCTTTTTTTCTACTATGCTTTAATTACTTCAGCGGAGGTTTATGCTGGGTTAGGGGTATTAGGGTTACCAAAAGATGGATAAAATTATCGTTTCCAGACTTACTGCACTCTAACAAGTTTCTCTTTAACCACAATTTTAGCATTCTGAATTGAGTTACTTCACATTCAAATCACCGAGTTTTAAACCCTTTTTGGGATTTCTCTGCTATATAAACAAATTAATACTCCAAGCTGACCATCTGGATTAATTATTATCTCCATTAATATAGAAATGCTAAAAATGAGGAAATTGCAAGTTTAAAAAGTGGGAAAGTACTTGATATAAAAGTTTTAGTTTGCAAAGTGAAAAATTCAGCAGCTGCTGAATATGAAGCTGATGAGAAAGATAGTTATGACTAAATTTGCTGTTGAAAGAGTTTTGCTCTGATTCTCTGGCACGGGCTCTTTACTTTTGACGCCGTACCTGTGTTAGATTCTTCAAAAATATGTTACTTCTGATGAATTTGACATGTACCCGTGGACATATTTGAAGAATCCGAGCAAAATATGTTACTTCCTAGCGCTATTTAGGAGCAACTTGGTAGGAACATCATAGTTTACTCTCTGCCAAAAGGAAGAAGTGGAGTATGAGAATCTAAAATGAGAAGAAAAAATAAACCAGCGTCTGGTTTGCAGAACTTATCAGACACAGATATATTATGTCAATTAACTTAATTTAATCGTATAAGATCTCAATCATCTTAATGTTTTTCTTCATGTCCAAGTTTTGCATTTCCATTCTTGTTTCCTGCTTATGTGCTATATATCGAGAAACATATTATTAGTGTTCTGTTCTGGTAGAGGTACAATCCATAGCAACTGATAGTCAGTTATGTGATTTCAATTGACTTTGAGGTAACTGTATCCAGGATCCAATAAAGAATGGAGTTCTGGCAGTTCAAACTATACGGAACAACATTATGGCATCTACACTTTTGGCAACAACTGCAATTACGCTCAGCTCAATCATTAGTGTATTTGTGAGCAACAAATCAAGCTATACGCACTCTGAGCTACTGTATGGGAATAAAACATCTATGATGTCTTCTATAAAGTTTTTTACCATCTTGCTTTGCTTTCTAGTTGCATTTCTCTGCAATGTTCAATCTATCAGGTACTACGCTCATGTTAGCTTCTTAGCTACTGTGCCTACCTTCAAAGAAAGATCTGATTCTATGGAGTATGTCGCAAGGAATTTGAACCGAGGGAGCATGTTTTGGTCACTTGGACTACGAGCATTTTATTTGTCATTTCCTCTCTTCCTTTGGATATTTGGTCCCATACCGATGTTTGTAGGTTGCTGTGTAATGTCGATTGTTCTCTACTTCTTGGATACCACTACAAGTTTTACCAGGGATCTCCACTGTCAATCTATAAGAGAGAAAAGAAAGGAAACTGATGTAGATGCGTAAATCATCCACTTTAGAAGTTGTTATGACATAACGAGTTCACTCTGGGCTAAGTTGACGGACTCTCCAAAAATGTTGCCCAGATCCTTCAAAAATACACTAGTTTTGAAGAATCTGACACGCATCCGTTGATATTTTTAAAGAGTCCGAGCAACACTGAGGGTGTATTCAGAGTTGTAGCCTGTAATACTTGAGTGTTTTATTTGGAAGATAGCTTGTTTCTTTGTGACTTAAGTTTCACCCTTTGGTTTCTGTATAAAATTTATCTTCAAGTGGTTTCCACTTCATTATATATAAATTATTAATTTTGCTTTCCCTGTACCTGAAGAAAGGAATATTATCCAGTGATTTATTGCATGTTTTCTCTTGATGACTTTATGTGTGAGGGTACAGAAACATGTTACAATGCTTGCAGTACTACTTAAAATAAGGCATAATATCCAATAATTTAATGCATAAATAATTAACCTAAACATAACTATATCTTAATAAAATAACATATTAAATTCTTCATAACTAATCCCTATAATACTGATATCTACGACTCTAGTCAGTAACCCAACAACCCCTAAAGGATCACTAACTTGACTCGTTTGGGAATTTTCCCTGGTAGTTGTCGTCGAGCCCGTCCTCTCGATTGAGCATCATATTTGTAAGGATCAATTATGAATATTTCAAGCGCTACACTATTTTCAATAAGGTAAGTTGTAACTATCATGTCAGCAAAACCACCAACGTAACCACTATATTTGACTTCTTTGAGATGCTGATGGGACACTTTTTCCGTATAACTTTTTTTTTGGAGATCGTCGTTTTAGCCCACTCAAGCTGAAAAGGAAAAACAAAGGGTAAGTAAAATATAACTAGTATGAAGCCAAGGAAAACATATTTTCCTAACATAATTGCAATTGAGTTTAATTTATACATATACCAATTGCGAACACAATTTCTTATTCCATACATACATACATACATGTGATTGTTAAAAAAAAAGGGATTTATAATCTATATCTATATTGCTTTAAAGGCATAAAAAATTGTCATTTATTATTATTTTTTAAATTAGTATTTGATTATTTTTAAGTAAAAAAATATAAAATTGGACATAATATAAAAGGAAAGAGAACAAGGTTTTTTTTTAGTGAAGGTTAATAGTCATTATAATTGGCATATGTTAAAACAATACGGAAGAAAAGGATAAAAATATGAGTAATAAATACAAAATTTGGTGTTGGTTAATATAACAAGGAAAAAACAATTTTTTAACATGAGTATTAAACTCCTAATATTTAGTAATTATTAGTTTGGATTTAGTTTATTTGAACCCGTGTTATTTTAATATGTCATATATACTAAAAACAAAAAAAGCATTTATGAAAAATAACATAAAGAATAAACTCATACGTACCTCAATATGCAGTTTTTGCAAATATGGAGATGCTTCTATTAGTGGAGTAATACCAAGTAGGGATTCATCCGTCACGCCTACGACTTTCAACACAAGCACTTTGAGATTGTTGAACTTTGGTAAAGCATGATCAAGAAAATGAAGATCCTGGAATAATCAAACATATTAAAAATTACAAGCGTAAAATCAAGCTTTATTTATTAATTATATATTCTAGCTCTATGGAATACATTAATATATAATTGCTTACCATCCCCATATGACCAAATTCAAGTGAAAGTGTCGTCAGTAGAGTGAAATAGGTTGTAAACGTATGAACAAGTTCACAGATCAATGCTCTACTCGTCTTGAAATCAATAGTAAGAACTGAAGTAACATTCTTGAGAAGCAAATTTGATTTCCATCCTATGTATTTAAAAGAGACAAGATTGACGTTATGGATCTTGATGAAATCCAAACCAATGCAATGACATAGTTCCAAATCTTTCAAGTTGAAGCATGATGGTCCAACAATTTCCAGGTGAGTCAATAGTAGTGATTGATGAATAGATAGTTTCTCAAGAAGGGGACAGTTGAAGATGAAAAAGTTGACCACCCGATTGTCAACATCAACATTATTGAAAGCCAAAACTTTGAGACTAACAAATGGCGATAAATTTGATCTATGACTTGAGATGAAATTAAATGGAAAGGTATATCACCTATGCTCGTATTTACTGAGTGATAGGTCTAGTTGAAAGATTTCAACCTTTTTCTTTGATGATACAAAGTTGAGACATTTACTTATTACACGCTTAAAATGCTTATGAAAAGGAAAAGAGAGAGTGAATTCTTCTAAGTGACCACCCTTGTGGAAATCCAAAACATTATTAATCAAATTGATATGCTTCATCCCTTCCTTTCTGCATAACCTTGGATAATAAAACATCTTCCATGTAATAAACTGTGAAACGTCAAATTTGAGACGTGTGACATACATCCAGAGATAGTGCCATTGAATTGAAAGGGAACTTGTTTGGACTGCTTCTCTAATTGTTAATTGAGACAGAATTGATACAATAACTTCATCTGGCAATTGGCTAAGCCTGTCCTCCATTGATATCAAAATTGATTAATATGAAGGATTTTATTGAAACGAACACAACTTTGTTTTCTTTACAGCCTTAATTCAATTTGGCCAATTGGTAGCTGTGTTGTGGTTTATATAGATTTTCAAACCAAATTTGAGTTGCTTATGGGTTTTCTGTATCAAACCCAATTGAATTAGGATTTAGTTTTTATTATTAGTTTCTAAATTTGCTGTATCAAACCCAGACTCAATTGGATTTGGTTTATTTAATAATTTAGACCCCTGCTTCTGTATCAAAACCCAATTGGATTTGGATATCGTTTTTATTTCCTTTTATTTTTTTATTTAAGTTTTCTAAACATAATTTCTTACTTTGCTTAAAACAGATAAATATCCATTGAACTTAGAGAAGGTAAATAATTAGGCTAGGAACTTAGATATTATTATTGACGCGCGAACTAACAATTAATCTTACTAGCAAGTAATATTCTTCTAGAAACACAAACTGGACAAGCAAATAAATCGTTGCACTAATTAAACAGTGAAAAGGGAAAATAAAGATATTTTTGACACTATGGGCAAAAGGATCATTATGAGTGATAAGGGAGGTCCAATCAAAACATATTAACTCATAAAGAAATGGACATTGAACATAACTCAACCTCAAAAGCTAAGTCAACAGGTGAGGATTGCCCAAGATCATATAAAGAGACAATTGTACGACTCAACACCCTCTCACGCCCAAGACTGAACACCAGTAAACCATGAATTGACATGGTCTAGCCCTGATACCGTCATAAAGAAAATGACTGTGGACCTAACTTAGTCCTAAAAGCTAGCTCAAGAGGTAAGAACTGTCCAAGACCATATAAAGAGACCGATTTCTACTCGTCTGGCCAGACACCATGGTTACAAAAAAAAAAAAAAAAGGGTACAAAGGGTGTACCTTTTCATGTGGCGGACCAGGACAGACCCAATTTCCACCAACCCAATCAAGATGAAACCTCAAGTAATGTTCAGAAAATTTAATGGATATCTGTCTGTGTTAATAACAATAGTTGTAGGTGAAAAATCTGCTGATTTTTCACCTACCGGACATGTCAATCCAAGTCAAATCAACTGTTGCCTGTGAAATTAATATATGTACATAAAAATTTACCTTATATATACCTGCGTTACATCTTACATCATGTGATAAACTTATGAGTTATGTGTTACTATTAACTATTAAGCTTGCAAAGAAGATTCAATACGTTTAACTTTATTTGAAGTAATTCTTTAAGAATCCCAGTTCTCTTTTGTCCACTTCAAAGATATTTCAGAAACTTAATTTTTAAGCTATGGAATCATGTTCTTTATATTCTTCTATCTCAACCCTCAAAACTCGAATTTGAACAAACTAGAAATCATTACCCACTATTATACATCAGTATAACTTACGAGTATCTAACAAGCAGTCATATTTATCATCAGCTCGCAGATCCATCCAAGCATCAACGTCCATCGAAAACTTCTGACCAAGCTTCCTTACGCCTTGCTTCACTCTATGATCAGCAATTTGGTTCTTAAGCAAATTTCAACAACTTTGACTTGGTATTTGATAAGAGAATGAACCTTGTTTCTAACTAAAATTCAAAAGCTAGTATGTGAGGTGAGGATATCCCTAAATCATATAAGGAGTCAAATAATCTATATTACTATCGATATGGGAACTAGTTATTAGAACTTGAACCCCCTCTTCACTATAGTATAACAGAACAATCAATTAATAACAGAAAACTAAAATGGCGTCTTATTTCTCCAACTATCCTCCTCTCTCTACCCCTCTAGCCCAACCAAAAGATAGATTAAAAAGTAAAAGAAAAGAAAGAAATCATAATTGTGGGCTGCCTGATCGCTTTGCTATGGATATTTTTTCTGGTATTTTTTATGTGCATTGCAAGTCGGCTCAAGAGAAATTAAAAATCAAACATCAGAAAACTCCAAGATAGAGTGCTCTGTGGCCACAACAATATAATGTTAAGTACAAAATTCCAGAAATACCCTTGGTCATCCATGAGCTTGAAGAGCTAAATCTGCCCGGCATCGTCTTTGGTACACTTGCCAGCAGTAAATAACAATATTAGGGTACATCCATGTGTTCCTTCTTGTTATGATTGTACTCATGTTCTAATGAAACTCATAATTGACACAATGGGAAGCAATTAAAGTATCATTAAACTCTACAGCCAACATTAACATCGCTAGGTTGGATATATGAATTTTATACTACTAATATAAATGGTACGATGAAAAATCATCCGAAGTTATTATCACTGCATCCGATGTAAAGCATCCTTCGAAGCTGATATTTGCAAATCAACCAAGATTCACAGTGCTTCTTCTTTCAAATATAAGATGGCTAAGAGCGCTTTCAGAATTTAAGACATTCACAAATAATAAAATAAGCAGCAATAAGAATACAACAACAACATAACCATAAACATATGAAACATAAATCAATAAGACTACCCAAAAAATGACCAGTCTCAGATTATTATAGTTAGAGAGTAATACTAAAGCTAACCTTGTCACTTTACCCCAAGATGAATCACAAAATTAAAGTTTTGCCTAAATATATCTCAGCTCCTTTCACGGATAAGAGGTACAATAATTCAAAAAATGAGCTACCTTAGATCAAAAACGTGAAATACTGCATTTCGATAGTTGATACTCTACAAAGTCAACTTGATCGATCAACAAAGTGATAAGAAAAATAGAGTTTAAAATAACTCAGGAACACCTGATAGCAGAACAATGATCGAGGTGAAAAATAATTGTAAGAAAAAACAAAACTCACCGGAACTCCTTTATACAGCATAGCATAGATACAAACTGGAGAAACTTCAAACCACACCCAAGAGCGAAGGTCTGAAATTGGAGAAAATAAAATAAAATACAGATCTTGAATGAGAGAGAATAGCAATTTGATATTGAATTTTGGCATTTATGAATATGGAAAAGATGAAAACTCCACATACTAGTAACTTCAAAGAAAAATCTTATCCCAAGCTATTATACTTGTCCTCTTTACCTACCAACTATGTGACCAAAGAAGTGAAGAAAAAACTTAAACTGAAAATCATAGTGTGTTTTGCTGAATCAAACATAGAAACAAAGGGCGATGAGGAACCCGAATATCAAACAAAAAAAAAAGACCAACATGCATAAAAATTTCGAATCATATCCCTAAGAAAAAGAAGTGGTCTAGTCAAACGGAAAGATATAACCCAAATCCCTACTACATTCGAATCTAATTTAGTCTGTGCAGAAGTTCTCTGTTGACAATAGTTGCATCACATTTTAATCTTTCAATTGTCTGATCCAACTTTGAAATGAGAGTTAAAACTTCAATCTTAAACCTTAAGATAAAACCTCAAAAACCTTACCTCGTGCAACACATGCACTTTCCTTATGCAAAGAAGTAGAATCAGACAAATCAAGAACAGAGAGAAAAGAAGAATGACAGAAGTAGAAGAAAATTAGGCAATGACAACTACAAGAGATCCTAAAATTGAAAATTAAAACCAAAATTCATCTAAAGGTGGCAGAACACTGTGGAATTAGACCAGAGATTAAAAAAGTGGCATGTTTGTAACATGTGTTTGGTAGTTGAAGGAACAATAACTATCTAACGTCCTATGAAAAATCTCATCGTTTAATCTACCACATAAGCATTAACCTTCTTTAATAGTCATATGAAATGTAGCCATCCAACTACTATACACAGACATATTATGGGACTAGTTTCTAGACCTACCGTTTAGGTGGCCACCAGCGAGATCCAGTAAGGAAGTGTCGCGGCTGCTTCACTCTGCTGCCCTTCTAGAATTACGTTTAACGTCCCTTTATTACTTTCCCAACCTCCCCGCCGTCCCCCCTGCCTGTACCCTCCATAACGGAAGTACGTAGAAACCTTGATCTGTTTACCTGTGTGCCTCCTAATTCCGTGAAGTCCTTGGAGCATGCGATTTATTCAGGATCCTTGTCAAGAAAGAAGTTAGTCCCTTATTCTTTATTTTATGTTAAAAGGTCTGGACTCGAAGAGGGAGTCGATTCACGTACTTCACCATTTCCTGGGTCCTTATCGCCTTTCCCCGGTTCAGGGTATGGGTTCGTTCTCTATGTTGAAAGTCCCGGTGCTGCCATTCCGGAAATCAGGGTTTAGAAGTCTTTCGTCCGGGAGATATAGCTCCTCAGCACATACATACAGAGATCCTGTGATTTGATAGTTGCACGTGTGTCCCATATTAATTAGTACTATAATTTTTTTAAATGATATAAATGATGCTAAAACATGTAAGTAATAAGTGACTAAATTTAGGAAAGGGTAATTGTTTGTAGCTATAAACAGTCAATTGAATTGGTATAACATTTTTCTTATGTAGTTCTCATATATCTTATACTCAGTGTGTCATTTTCCTTATTTTTTTAATATTTCAATAACATATAGTTTATAGGTAAACATAAGTAACATTGATTATGTTTGTAAATGTTTCATATCTTAAAGTTTGTGTCTTAATTTTAAGAAACTATAGTCTCCTCCTTATTATATCCACATACATATCAAGATCTTGTTTCCGAATAACAATTGTATTTCATAATGTAGAAATATTGATTAACATATGTCTTCTTTAAGATGGATGATGTATCGCTGCCAATTTCACGGGGTACACTTGAAAAAATCATATTTATTTGTAATAGATAATTGCATGTACAACTTTCTTGTTTGATTCAAGATTATGAATCCTTCATGTAAATTTTATATGAGAATATTAACTAAATTGTTTAAATATAAGAGTATTACGAAATATAACATAATCAATTCATATTCACAAACAAGCTAGAACTTAATACAAATGGTTGAAATAATCCATCTGACTTGGCAGCGCATCAGGGGTGTAGCTGACTAAAGTGGTGCAATTTTCTAAAGACAATGGCACAATCCTTGTTTATGATTATGCATATGCTATGTATATATGTGATGA